AACCCCTACTTAGTTGTAGTTGTTCTTCTTCTTCTCCTCTGCTCGTGTTGCATTTGCCTCGAGCGTGGATCAGGCCTTAGCCCTGGGCTTAGGAGCGACTAACCCATGTCCAACTGATGTTCACATGGAACCCTTCTCCGCTTCGGTTCATCAAGGGAGTCTCTCTCGAGTATTTGCTACTACCACCAAGATCTGCACCAGTGGCGGCTCCAGGCCGGCCCACGCCGAAACCCTTCAGCGCTCACCACTGCGACCCTCCTACTCACCGGGGCTTCGAGACCTCGCCTTGAGAGCGAGGCCGGTAGTGCGCCCGGCGGTCGAGTATCGGGAGAATGCTTGAGCGCCATACCATTTTAAGGGCTAGTTGCTTCGGCAGGTGAATTGTTACACACTCCTTAGCGGATTCCAACTTCCATGGCCACCGTCCTGCTGTCTATAGCAACCCTACAAGCAAGCTCGGCATCTCACCCATTAAAAGTTTGAGAATAGGTTGAGGACGTTTCGTCCCCAAGACCTCTAATCATTCGCTTTACCGGATGAAATTCACCCTGCGAGTTCCAGCTATCCTGAGGGAAACTTCGGAGGGAACCAGCTACTAGATGATTCGATTAGTCTTTCGCCCCTATACCCAGCTCCGACGATCGATTTGCACGTCAGAATCGCTACGGACCTCCACCAGAGTTTCCTCTGGCTTCATCCTGGCCAGGCATAGTTCACCATCTTTCAGGTCCCAACATATATGCTCATGGTACTTGCCGACTGCCCGCGAGCCTGCCCCGGTGCGCCTCCGCCGTTTACCGACGGCCCGCTTCCGGGGACGGACAGCACCGCGGCGTCTTGGCAAGTCCCGGGCCTGCGCCCCCCCCTCCCATGAGGGGAAATTAAACTTCGACCATCGCCCTGACGACCTCCACCACATAGCGATCCAGAGGCAGGGAAAAGTATCTCACCCGCTTGGCAGCGGGCGTGGGGCGAGGCCGCAGGCAACCCGGTCAGGATCGGCCAGAGCGCGCGGAGAGCCTGTTACAGCTGCCCCGAGCCCGTCACTTCATTCGCCTTTTGGGTTTAGTGAGCCCATTGACGCACATGTTAAGACTCATGGTCCGTGTTTCAAGACTGGGTCGGGTGGATCACCGACCTTTGCGCACACCGCGAGGCAACCACCGCCGAAGCGGCAGCGCCAGCTCTTTCTCGACGACACGTCGCCAGGGCAACCAGGACACCGGTGGTTCCCCCCGTCGCGGGTCTCCCCCCAGACTGAGAGAGGAAATTCGTGACGAAGATACCAGTCCGACCGGGCCTTCGACGTCCCCGGCAACGGGTCGCGGTGACCTACTACGAGGCGAAATACGCCCGCCGACGCCAGCGTGAGTGGGGGCGCGCCCAAACATTTTTGGGTCGCTCAATTACAACACCCCACCCAGCCGACAGCCGACGAGCTGAATCCCCTCAATTCGACCTTCGAGTTTCCACCCGTTTGGCTCTTAACGGTTTCACGTACTCTTGAACTCTCTCTTCAAAGTTCTTTTCAACTTTCCCTCACGGTACTTGTTCGCTATCGGTCTCGTGGTCATATTTAGCCTTAGATGGAGTTTACCACCTGCTTTGGGCTGCACTTTCAAGCAACCCGACTCTACAGAGAGGCCCTTTCCGACCGTCCCATCTGTACCCTCACGGGCGCCGCCATACGGGCCTGTCACCCTCCATGGGCAGTGGCCGCTTTCAAGCTTGACTTAGACGGTATGGGACGGCGTGCTGGACCCTCTGAAACGCAACACCCCTCGTGCCCGAAGACATCGAGGTTATGCGCTGGGCTTTTCCCGGTTCAGTCGCCCTTACTAAGGGAATCCCTGTTGGTTTCTTTTTCTCCGCTTATTAATATGCTTAAATTTGGCGGGTAGCTCTCTCCTACTACGAGGTCGATCGTGGTCTCATCATCCTTAGGGGGAACAAGTTCCCCAACCACGAAGCGGAAGACGCTCTGCCACCGACTTTCTTCACCACCGACATTACCAGGCAGGAAGGTTTGAGGGGCTTGTCGCGGGGGTACCAGCGGCCATGGCGCCGGCACTCCCACCCCTGACTCCGTTCCTTCTCATTGAGTGGTAAATAGCCAATAGGAAAAGTGTTTCAGCAGAACATCTCTCGCAGAGTCATATACACACACAGTTTTAATGCATATACGCTCGTGTTCCGCCCTTACTCGGCCGCACCTTTGCCGCTTAAACTTTGACCTCTTTCCCCGTTCCCGCATGCCACAGCAGTGGCACTTGTTTATCCGGAGAAAGAGAGCGAGAGTCGCAGTATTAATTGGCGTGAGCGGCCTTTCCGGCTGCAGAACTAGTGCCCTATCCCGGCGAGCGCCGTTATGAGGCGCAACACCGTCTTTAACGCGTTTAGAGAGAACTCCCCCTGCCTCCCTCCCAGTCATGAGATAGACGTGGACTCGTGGCGAACTCTCAAAGAGAACGCCCACACCGCGTCTGACCGTGGGAGAGGGTGGAGGAGCGCGTGAGGAAGAGCACGGCGTCACCCAAGCATTCTCATCTCTCTGCCTGCACCACTACATAGTAGACTGCGGGCCCAGGCGCACTCATCAATTTAGGTTCCACTGCAATGCATGCCAAGCACTCTTTTCGAGGTGATAGACGAAATTCCGGCGGGGCTTACTTAAAAGATATCCGACCCGGTTTCGTTTCCTCTTCGTGGGATGGAGTGCCTCTTAGAACATGTGCAGCATCAGCCATGAGCGGCCGACGGCCATTCGTGTCTCTGTGGACAGCAGGCAAAAACGCCGCCTCCAGTTGACTGCGAGGGCGACAACTGTCGCTTTGTTGTGTGGTTGAATGTGGGTGCGCCAAGTCATGGACTTGCTGGTGATAAACTTTGCTTGTTTTAAGGAGCGCATACCGGCATAAGCTGTGAGCGATTAAACCAAAGGCGGAGCTTCGGTTAAGGTTACCCTGCGTGTCAGGGGAGACAGTCAGCAGGTACCCGAACTGCGGCAACCGATGGATGTATATTTCCGACCCTCGTGAAGCGTGGCGGCGACAAGCTCATATGGCTGCGCGCGCAATATCGTTCAACTTGTCGTGTATCTGGTATTCTTGCGATTCACATACCGACTGCGCCAGTTTGCCTGCGGTCTTCATCGACCCACGAGCCGAGTGATCCCCCGTTAAGAGTTATGTATTTGCCATTTGGTCTTTTTGCGACTAACCATCACAGGTCGAGTCTCAATGAAAGGGTTTGACAGACATAGCCCAAGTTTGTGGTTTGGGTTTGGCCGGACGGCTTGTTGTTGTTTTTTGACACTTGAATTTCACTCTTTTTGGGTCAAGAGGCTTATTCGCCGGTAGTAAGGAACGGACGGGCAGCCGTCCAAAGCCCCGTCCGTCCTCCTCCGGTCTTCGCGCTCTCGCCCGAGTGTGGTCCACCTACAGCGTGGTGGTACCTATTTTTGGTGCGGGGGCCGGGATTGTCCTCTTCGCTGCTGGAGTTGCCAGAGCAGAGCCCGAGACCGCCCAAATCAGGAGAGTAGTAGTAGTTTTAAGAGCGCCCCGTTCTCTTTCTCTCTGTTAATGATCCTTCCGCAGGTTCACCTACGGAAACCTTGTTACGACTTTTACTTCCTCTAAATGATCAAGTTTGGACATCTTTCCGTCAGCTCGAGGCGACGACCCCAGAAAACCCTCGCGGGCAACGGGGCCGACAATCCAAGAGCGCCAGTCCGAAGGCCTCACTAAATCATTCAATGGGTAGTAGCGACGGGCGGTGTGTACAAAGGGCAGGGACGTAGTCAGCGCAAGCTGATGACTTGCACTTACTGGGAATTCCTCGTTCATGGGAAACAATTGCAAGCCCCAATCCCTATCAAGAAAGGCTTTGAACGGGTTGCCCTCTCGGAGGGGGAAAACTCGTTGATCCCTTCAGTGTAGCTGCGGCGCTCCAGAACATCTAAGGGCATCACAGACCTGTTATTGCTCAATCTCGGCGGCTAGAATTGCCGCTATCCCTCTAAGAGAAGTTGCGAACTGGACACCATTTTCTGGAGATCGACTACTTAGTAGGCCAGAGTCTCGTTCGTTATCGGAATTAACCAGACAAATCGCTCCACCAACTAAGAACGGCCATGCACCACCACCCACCGAGATCGAGAGAAAGAGCTCTCAATCTGTCAATCCTTCCGGTGTCTGGGCCTGGTGAGGTTTCCGTGTTGAGTCAAATTAAGCCGCAGGCTCCACTCCTGGTGGTGCCCTTCCGTCAATTCCTTTAAGTTTCAGCTTTGCAACCATACTTCCCCGGAACCCAAAGACTTTGGTTTCGAGCTGCCCGCGGGTCATGGGAATAACGCCGGCGGATCGCTAGTTGGCATCGTTTATGGTTAGAACTAGGGCGGTATCTGATCGCCTTCGAACCTCTAACTTTCGTTCTTGATTAATGAAAACATCCTTGGCAAATGTCAGTAGTTCGCTTCACGGTCCAAGAATTTCACCTCTAGCGCCGCAATCTTAATGCCCCGCCTGTTCCGATTAGTCATTACCTCTGGTTCGAAACCAACAAAATAGAACCGAGGTCCTATTCCATTATTCCATGCATCACCATTCGGGCCATTCAAATAGCCTGCTCTGAGCACTCTAATTTTTTTCAAAGTAAACTCTCCGGCCACTCGGGACACTCGACAAAGAGCATCCCGTGCGAAAGGGCGGGCGGCTGTTCGGGCGTGACAGTAAACACCGGCGCAATCGTCAGTCGAACTGAGATCCAACTCGAGCTTTTTAACCGCAACATACTTTAATATACGCTTTGAGCTGGAATTACCGCGGCTGCTGGCACCAGACTTGCCTCAATGGATACTCGTTAAAGGATTTAGTGTACTCATTCGATTGAGGCCTCGGATGAGACTCACATCGTTATTTTTCGTCACTACCTCCCCGTGCGGGAGTGGGTAATTTGCGTGCCTGCTGCCTTCCTTAGATGTGGTAGCCGTTTCTCAGGCTCCCTCTCCGGAATCGAACCCTGATTCCCCGTTACCCGTTATAGCCATTGTAGGCGCATAACCTACAATCGAAAGCTGATAAGGCAGACACTTGAAAGAAGCGGCGCCGGTGCGGAGACCGTGCGCTCAGCCCGAAGTTATTCAGATTCACCACAGGTGGGTTACGGACGGGGGCCCGACCAGTTTTGAACTAATAAAAGCGCTCTTCCCTTGCGGTCAGAGACCAATTGCATGTATTAGCTCTAGAATTGCCACAGTTATCCAAGTAAGTGGGTTTACAGATCCAATGAAACATAGCTGATTTAATGAGCCATTCGCGGTTTCGCCTTAAATCGGCTTGTACTTACACATGCATGGCTTAATCTTTGAGACAAGCATATGACTACTGGCAGGATCAACCAGGTAGCTGCTGCTGTTGGCGGCGCCTATCACGGCGGCCAAATAGTGAGAGAGATTGAGAGAGAGGCAGAAGACATTGGGCGAGGGACCGCACGTTGGCCTTAGAGAAATAGCAAACCAGATGATCAGATCTAACTGCACCTTCTCTTGCTATCCTCGGCGCCGGCAGCGCCACCGTGTGTGCCAATCTCCTCCCTTATCCGCTCCTCTTTGCCCCAGCTCCAGCGAGGCAGCCGACATTGGGCGAGGGACCGCACGTTGGCGAATCTCCTCCCTTATCCGCTCCTCTTCTCTTTGCCCCAGCGAGGCAGAAGACATTGGGCGAGGGACCGCACGTTGGCCTTAGAGAAATAGCAAACCAGATGATCAGATCAAACTGCACCTTCTCTCGCTATCCTCGGCGCCGGCAGCGCCACCGTGTGTGCCAATCTCCTCCCTTATCCTCTCCTCTTCTCTTTGCCCCAGCGAGGCAGCCGACATTGGGCGAGGGACCGCACGTTGGCCTTAGAGAAATAGCAAACCAGATGATCAGATCAAACTGCACCTTCTCTCGCTATCCTCGGCGCCGGCAGCGCCACCGTGTGTGCCAATCTCCTCCCTTATCCGCTCCTCTCCTCTTTACCCAGCTCCAGCGAGGCAGCCGACATTGGGCGAGGGACCGCACGTTGGCCAATCTCCTCCCTTATCCGCTCCTCTTCTCTTCTCTTTGCCCCAGCGAGGCATAAGACCTTGGCCCATCTCCTCCTCTCTCTCTTTCTCTTACTGTTTGTGGGGACGTGGGCTCATGAGCGCCATCGTCGCCCAATATTGGTTAGGTTGTGTATTTCACGGGTGGGAACCGCCATCATCGTTGTTAGGTGATGGGGTAACCCAACGTGTGCTTTGACGAGTTTTGGCTGCTAAACTCTCTTTTTAGTATACTCGGCTCCCAGACTGCGCCCTGGTCGTGTTGAACCATGAGCGTTGTCTATGCACATTTAGGGTAGCCGTTTGCGCGTGGAATAGTGCAATGAATCTCGGTCAAGAGACGGTTGGGCGCTGCATTGAAGGCCGGCACAGACGCGAAGACGGGTTGATCAGCCAACGCAAGTCCGCTAAGTTGGGCAGACAGCAGACAGCTGTGATGGAAACTAGTAGGGTGGCGACGTGTGTGCCGAGAGAGAGACGGAGTAAATAATGTCCAAACGGAAGAGAGACCTGGCAAGTGTAATTGATAGATCGCGAGCCTACGCCCCATAAGCCCGCTCCACTGCCATTCCTCTGATCCAATGAGACTAAAATCTCTCTCCTTCTGCTCCAGCCATTGCAGGGCAGGGAAGCGACGGCAATTTTGGTTGTTGTTTTTGAATGCCGCGCTTTGCTTCGCAGAGGCGCCGAAGCGCTCCGCTTGTGGGCGGAAAATATTTCACACCGAATATGTGTGTGAAGGCGCCCTCTCCCCTTAATATAGTGAAATAGTGCAATCCAGCATACAAGGTCGGACGATAGGACATTCACCGTACCGCACCTCGAGAGTGGATGTTG